TCCCCAAGCAAAAATGAACACATTTCTAATCCCCAAATTACATCTTTAGCCAAATAATCACGAAAGCTCATAATCCTCTCTCATTCCTACAGTGTAGCTCTCAATGGCCCAGGGATGTGAAGACTTTCGTGGTTGACTGCCTTCCCCACCCCCAGAAAGTTGGATTCCGTGTGTAGCATGATGCTGATCTTGGGTCTCACCATTCTACATATTTACTGCTGGAGGAGCATACGTTAGGGAGTTGGGAAGTAAAGTCCAAAGCCCCAGCTCTTAAGGAGCTTATACTCTAGAGGCAACATCTTACCTTCTTTTTAAAAAAATATCTTTATTGATTTCAGAGAAAGGAAGGGAGAGGGAGAAACATCAATGATGAGAGAGAGTCATTGGTCCTCTGCCTCCTGCACGCCCCCCCCGGGGATGGAGCCCACAGCCCCGGCCTGTGCCCTGACCGGGACTCGGACTGTGATCTCCTGGATCCCAGGTCGATGCTCAACCGCTGAGCCACACCGGCCGGGCAGCACCTTACCTCCTTCACCCTCGCGCTCCCCACTGCCTTCTCACAGCTCATCCACAGCACCCTAGTCCAGCTCCCTGAACCTCTTCCTTGTTCTCCCTGTGCAACTAATAATAGTAGAAAAACAATAATAGCTAATATCACTATGTGCTTATTAGATGCCAGATACAAGTCTCTCTCATTTAAAAGAATGAGGGAGAGACACACAAAAAGGGGAACAAAACCCAGCCCTGCCCAATCCGCCACCAGAGGACATACCTTTCTACGTCCACTCCGTTCCTGTCCTTCCCCTGAAGGCAGAACTGATGGAGGGAGCAACCTGGACACACAAGTTACCCTCCAGCCTGCAACGGGACTTGCCCTCGCTGACACCACTGTTGAGCTTCCAACTGCCCAGCTGAACGGACATTTTCTGTTCTTTCTCACTTTTGGCGATGACCAAGAAAATCTACACCATTGCCCTTAATCCACTTGACACTTCTTTTTGTTGATTTCCTCCTGTGTCTCTTCCTGTTCTTTCTCACTTTTTCTCTGTGCAGCTATCGGCAATTCATATAATCCGAGTGCTAGATTTTTGATCTATAAAATGGAAATCACACTATCAATGTTAAAGGGTTCTGGTGAGAAACACTTGAGTCAGTTTATATAAAGGCACATTATAAACTTGACGATGCTATGCCAATCGTCGTTTTGTTATTGTTAAGTGTAATTAAGGTAATAAAAGAGTCTCCAAGTGATCTCCTTTGATGATTCTGGCAGAATGTTTTGTAATAAACATAGCTTTTTAGAAAATGAATGCTTATGCTATTAAACATATTTTCTTCTTTTAAGTGGTCAAAATATTCCCCCAACATATTTTTGTTTACACTGTTAGCTTGCTTAGCAATCCTTTTTCCCTTTAATTAAAAGGAAGTTAGATTTCAGCCCAGCCCTTCTATGATCCATCCATACACTCTAGGATTCTCATAAATGATGTGATTCCAGAGGAAAACAATTCCTGCCCTCAAAGAATTTGGGAATAGAATTAGGAGCTTACGTTAATATAAAAGACGTTTTCGTATTTATAAGGAAATCGGGTTTTTAATAAAAACTTGATCTGTTCACAGTGACTTCAGATGCCTATCCTTAGAAAGTGATAAAACTCTCTCACATTCATTTGGAGATTATTATAATTTCTCGTGCCCTCCCCATACAAGACCCTACTGGAGGGATCGTATTTCTGGGATGAAGCCAGCCTGTTGCAGGGTCTCGGTGATTCTGCCCAGTTTCTTGAATTGTCCTGCCTAAGCAGCCCTGTCCCCCGACACTGACCTCAGCCCCGTGCCAATTTATCTCTTCCCCACGCTCCCCACTGTCTCGCGCCGACCTTCCTCCAGCTCTCGCCGCACCGAAGGGCCACTGTTTCTGCGGCTGCTCCGCCAGCAGCACTGTTGGCATCAGTGGCAGCGACCGTGTCTTTCACCCGTCACTGTGCCCTACCCAGGCGTGGCAGGTGCTCAGCAATGGATTACATGTTTGGATAGGTGGAAGACGAGAGAATAGAACAAGACCTTAAGGCACAGGAAGCTTAACCCTGTTAGAGGTAACAGACCACCTGTTGACTCCCCTCCTACTCTTCACCGCACCTTGTTTTTATTTAAGTGTCTTCTCTGTGCACCCCTAAGCTTTGTAAGGGGAGGGAGTGTGTCTGTCTTGCTCACCACTTTTCCCTGAGCCCTGGCATAGGCAGAGCCAGTGCCTAGCAGATATTCAGCAATATTTACTGAATAAATTACTCAATGACTGTGTATGTCCACATTGCCTATTTTAGCTCAGTGACGAGGGACCATTTAAATCCAACAAACTCTTCTCCCGGGCATGCCGGGTGAGCACCAGGAAGAGAGGCAAGGGATTGGAGGTAGCTTTGTCTTCCAGAATTCTCCTATCTGATGAAGATCAGGTAACTCAACACTCGTTGGCTCTTTCCTAGTTTACCAGGTCCTTGATAAGAAATAAATTTCCCAGAAAGAAGGAGAGAAGAGGCGAAGAGAGAGGGGACTGAAGGGAATTACATATTAGTGAACAAAACCCTGTTGAACCCCGTTGTCCTGTGTCTACTGATACACCCTGTCTGATGGAGGAAAATGGAAATCAGTCACACCAGGACCTGTGATATAACTATTCTTTAGAAGCCTGTGCACTGGTGATGACCAGTGCTGTGTGCATCCTGGTTGATTTCTCACCTGTCCAGGGAAGAATTGGATAGAGAACTGGATCTTTCTTTGACTGTCATCCAAGTAGGACCTGACTTCTGACAGATGGGAAACAAAACCGGAGTTTTATTCGCCTGATTTAGAATGGCATCAAGAAAGTCATAAGACAGTGTGACATCTGGGCAGATGACTCTACAGCAGGAACTCGTTGATTTCAGCCTTTGAAGAACAACTGAGTAATAGGAGAGAGTCATTGAATCACTTTCCATGTGGAGTCGAATGTGTTCTCCCTGCTATTTACCAGCTGTTTGCCAGCCTCTGGGCATTATTAGGGGATGAGCCACATTAACATGGCAGAGCTTGACTCGCTTTCCTAGGGAAACAGACGAGCTGGCAACGGCTCCCAGCAGCTCTTGACTTTCTCCCCATGTACTTTCACGTGCCAAAAACTTGTTTGCCGCTTATCAGGCCTGGTGGAGACCAATATTCCTGTGCTGGAAAGAAGTGATTTTCCTCATAGAAACAGCCATGAGGAATGTGCATGAGGAGGGGGAAGGAGGCCTTTAAAAGACAAGGAGGGAACTGGTGAAGGAATCATCACAGAGAAAGAAGTTCATTAACTCGCCCAGGTTCACATGGCCAGAAAGCGGCCGAACTGAGATTATCCCAGGTCACTCCAACTCCCAGCACCACCTCCAAATGCTAAAGGGACATTTAAAATCCAACTGAAAACAAGAACTTGGAGAGAGGAAATCACTCGCTCTGTTGGGACCAAGTGAGGTCTGAGTAGGGGAGTTAGAGACAGAGAGCTACCAGTGGAGACAGCAAACAAGGCTGGGAATTAAATGGAGAAGCAGGAGACCTCTGCACACCCCAGGCAAGTCCTCAGATGTGTATTTCTTGCCTTGCCGTACAAACCAGAAAGAATATGAGGGGCCTTTATCCCGCTGAGTCAATAGACTCCCCAAAATAGTAGACTGGAAGGAATCCAGCAGGTCAATCTGAGGCCAGAGTCTCCTTTACCATCAACCTCTATTTGAATGTCTCGAGAGACAAGGGACACTTACTATATCACAAGAACTCTAACTGTCCAAATGATCTCTTTTTATTCCCTTACATCCTGACTCCCTCCGGCCCTAACCTAGCTATCTGAACTTAGTAGTAGTTAGGTCCTGAGAACTCCCAGGGAGCTAATAGATTTCCTTTCTGTTGGTTCTGAGTGGGATTGACCCCAAACCTCTGAGGCCAAAATAGGTACCCCAGGAAGGCTGCCTGTGAGTCTTCCAGGCTCCCAAGGGCACATGGACCATGTCCCAAGGGCACATGGACCATGTCCCATGGGAGCTTCCTTGAGATGGGATGAGAATGTGTGTCGGGACAGAGGAGAGCAGAAGACAGCCCTTTCTCTATGCTGTGGGCTCATAACTACNTGGACCATGTCCCATGGGAGCTTCCTTGAGATGGGATGAGAATGTGTGTCGGGACAGAGGAGAGCAGAAGACAGCCCTTTCTCTATGCTGTGGGCTCATAAGTTGAAGTCCACCTCACCTAAAGGTCTGACTCAGGGGACCTCCCAGCTGGGTGGCTCTGAATCCCCCTTTATTTGAACTCCCTTGAAGCTGGACCACAGCCTGGCCTCTCTGATTACTGCGCCTTTTAGACTCTTCCCATCTGCCTGACCCTTGGGCCCCGGGGGTGGTCACATCAGCCTCTGGCATGCAAAGCATATGCAGGGTGTCAGTGGGGTGTCAGTATCCTTGCCTCTTTGGAGAGTCCCCCTGTGAATCCATTCCTTCTGCCCTCTGTGTTCACCACTCTAAGGCCGGCAGCTGGCACTTCACCATGCAGCAAGAGGCCAGAGGACTAGAAACACTGTGTCCAGCACCCACTGTGTCCCAAGGGCCTCTGCTGGTGGGAGAGTATCTTTTGAGCACACAGTAGGAACTCAGAAAATACAACACTTGGTGAAAAAACAAATGGCATTAGGAATGGAGCTTCTCATGCCTTGAACTTCAAGTTTCCCAAACTTTCAGGTTTTGGGTGCTCCATTCATGAGTTATTGTTGGTTTAGAAACAGAGACTGTGTTCTTTTGGATTAAGTCCTATTTCCTCCCTAGGATGCTGTCCCGGGACATGCCTAAAGCATGTTAATCAGTGATTGTTGAGGTTTTCTCAGGCTTTTTCTTAATGGCTGAGCTTGGTGATGCTGGAGAATGTTCTATTCAGAAGAGGGAGGCAGTTCAGGAAGCCGGGGAAATGTGCAGCAAAGCAGGGAGGCCCATGGAGGCTGCGAGATGGGGAGCACCGAGAGCCCCTCTCCCCCTCCACAGGCCTGGACTCAGCCACAGCACCAGGTGTCTGCCAGTGTGGAACGTGGCTTCGTTAAGGCCCCAGACAAGGCAGACGGGAACACCGGAACTCACGGTTCCCACTCCCAAAACCGTCCTCCCATGCCACCTGCAAAAAGCAATTCACATTTAGAAAAATGAATTAAAGACCCTTGGAAAATGACCTGTTAACCAGTGGGGAGAAGATGCAGAAGGAAACTGTCAGAGAGAGATCCCGAGAGGTGGGCGGGTGATGGTGAATCCACATTCCTGATTTTCAGATTCTTCTCCCCAGAATCCTTGCTGGAGTTAAATGATCAAAACCACTGAGCACCTGTGCCTGTCATGAAACTAGTTACCATTTGTGAGCACCCACTGTGTCCCCATGCACGATGAATCAGTATTCTCACAGCTACAGTATAAGTAGCATGATTATCCCCATTTTACACATGGGAAAAATGAGGCTCGGAGAGTCTGAGTAGCTGCCTCAGTCACACAGGCGGTGGCAGCAGAGAAGCGGTTGGAAGCCTGAATTCTGTGTCTCTAGAAGCCACGTGGTTTCCACTCCCAATAGGAACAATAACCAGTTACTTTGAAGTAACTGGACAAGGAATAGAATGTTTTACAGAAAAGACATCGCAGGGTCTTGTGTTGACTCTCGCTTCCTATTTCCTGTTCCAGGTAATTTGTTCTTGGTGAGCCTGGCATTGGCTGACCTGGTGGTGGCCTTGTACCCCTACCCACTAATCCTCGTGGCCATCTTCCACGACGGCTGGGCCCTGGGGGAGGTGCACTGCAAGGCCAGTGCCTTTGTGATGGGCCTGAGCGTCATCTGCTCCGTCTTCAACATCACTGCCATTGCCATTAACCGCTACTGCTACATCTGCCGCAGCGGGGCCTACCGCCGGACCTGCCGGCGCTGGCACACCCCACTCTACATCTGCCTCGTCTGGCTCCTCACCGTGGTGGCCTTGGTGCCCAACTTTTTTGTGGGGTCCCTGGAGTACGACCCACGCATCTACTCCTGCACGTTTATCCAGACAGCCAGCGCCCGGTACACGGTGGCAGTGGTGGTCATCCACTTCCTCCTCCCCATGGCTGCCGTGTCCTTCTGCTACCTGCGCGTCTGGGTGCTGGTGCTCCGGGCCCGAAGGAAGGCCGGGTCGGGGAGCAGGCTGCGCCCGCGGCCCGGTGACGTCCGGAGCTTCCTCACCATGTTCGTGGTGTTTGTGATCTTCGCCATCTGCTGGGCCCCGCTGAACGGCATCGGCCTTGCTGTGGCCGTCAGCCCGGAAGAGGTGGCTCCTCAGGTCCCAGAAGGGCTCTTCGTCGCCAGCTACTTCCTGGCTTACTTCAACAGCTGCCTTAACGCCGTCATCTATGGGCTCCTGAACCGGAACTTCCGCAGGGAATACAAGAAGATTGTCCTAGTCCTCTGGAACCCGTGGTTCTGCTCTCAGGACACTGCCAGGGGCAGCCGCCCGGGGGGGCAGCGGGGCCAAGCTCTGCCTGTCAGTGCCCAGCACCCCTTCCAGGCAGGCGCTGTCTAGCCTGGGTCTCAGGCACAGCGGCTGGGCCACGAACTTGGAACTGGTGGGAGTGAATCTGCCCCAAGGGCGCCATCGGACACCCTGCTGTGCGTCCTGCTAGCGCGGCAGCACGTGGCTCGTGGAATTTCATTCTGTGGACAGAGGCCTGTCAGCACCCTTGGTTCTGGCTGGTCAGGGGACACCTCCTGGGGGCCATGTCCTGGTGAGCGTAGCCCTGGACTTGGCAAACACTCTCTCAGTGGCACATTCGAGTCTTGGCACTTACAAGGTCCGAGGAAGGGACAGACTAAGGAAAGGCCTGGCTGGCACAGAAGAAGCCAGTTCTTTCCCATGGGCGGCCTCTCAACTTCTCCCCCGCCCCCCCCATGCTTTGTCTCCGCGCTGCTTTCTCTCTCCCCCAAGGGATGGTGGGAATGGATAGCTTCCTGTTCCAAGAACGGAAGAGCAAGCTCTGCAGTGCTGGGAGGTGGGTAGTGTGCAGGGGCCCCGGGGGGCTGGGGCGGGTATAGAGGGCAAGCAGTCGGCACCCTGCCCCGCTGAACTTCCCTTCACACACGTGCACGCACCCGCACACACACCATCGTGTACACTGTACCTGCCACCACATGGCACTCCGTGTGATCTGTACATATGTACACATCGCACTATACATACACATACCACAAATGCGCTGCACACGCACACTCTTCAGGCGCTTGGAGCACAGAGTCGGCCTGGCTTCCTTCCCTGGTTCCACCGCGTTCAGTTGTGTGAGTTGGGGCAAGTCCCTCCACCTCTGTGTTTCTCAGCTACTCACCTTGAAGTGGAATGATGCCAGTGCCTCCCAGGACTGTTGTGAGAATTCACTGGGATAGTTAGATGAAGAGCTGAGGGCAGTGCCTGGCACATGGCTGGCACTGAGCAGTCATTAGTTTTGTTGTTATTCTAACTACATAAAATGAAAGATAACCTTGAAGGTGAGAAGAAATCTCACACACACACATGCACGCATGCAGACATGCACATGCATGCACACATGCACGAACATGCCCACACATGTGTGTGCGTACACACGCACACACGCACATGCACACAGGAATGCGAGGAAAGAGAAAGGGAAGATGTGAGTGGAAGTGGGAGAAAGGCAGCTCCACCCGAAATTCATTCTGACGGCTAGTGTGTTTATGGACTTTCCATTTGTAGACATCTCAAGTCTTCCTTTAGCACCAACAGACTTATCTGCCATCTTCACACCCACAAATATTAATCAAGTGCCAGGTCCAGCAGGAGCGACAAAAGGCATATTGCCTGCCGTCCGAGGCCATAGTATGTTAACAAACAATATCAGCTCACATTTATTGGGTGTTGGCTTTGTATCAGGCACTTTGGCAAATGCGTGGTATATATTATTTCAATTAATCCTTATCAGATTCTTTGAGAAGATATTATTATCCATATTTTTAGCAAGAAACTGAAAGACAAAGTCGAAATGATTTCCTGAATTCACAGAGCTGTTGAATTCAAAGCTAGGGGTGGAGCCCAGGTCTGTCTTATGGCAGCACCCACTTTGCCCACCTTCCCCCTATACACACACCTTAGAACGTGTGGCAGCAACAAGGTGGAGTGGGGTATGTACCCCAAATGTATTAGATGCCTGGGGGCTCCAAAGAGAGAGAAGTTACTCCGGCCAGCGGCTGCTTTCCAGAGGAAGAGCCCAGGCGCTGGTCCAGCACCAGGCTGGGTGCCCTCCTTCCCGTGTAATGTGAGGACTGAGGCCAGGTGCTATACTTATTCACCTTGTTACCTGGGAGCTTGTTAAACATTAGCAAGTGCCCCGGGCTCCACGAAGGTGTCCAGCTTGGAAATCTGGGGAAGGCCCTAAGAATCCGATTCAGCCCGTGGAGGTCAGGACCAAACTGTTAGGAGTGTTGGTGTTACAGCCCAGGTTGCTGGCACTTGGGACCCGGTTGCTGGGTGTGGAGAGTCCTGCCCAGGAAGGCCTCCCAGTTCAGACCTCAATCTGAGAGACACATGAGGCCTAAGGCTTTTCTTTAAGCTAAGGTCACTTTTCCTGACTCTGGAAAGAGCCTGAGCTGACCAGGTTCTCTGTCCTCTCTGCCAACTGCAGGGATTTGCCCTTCACTCCTGACTGGGAGGTAACAAGGTGGCCCCTCATTCTCCCCATCCCTAGCTTGGAGCCAGGTGGCCCAATAAATGCAGATGGGAAGAACACAAGTTCTCTTCAGTTTCCTGATTTGCCAGAGCTCAGCACTGCCAGTCCACTCACTAGGTCCTTTTTTGTTTCCACAGGTTTTTTTATGATGACCCAGGAGCTGAGAGAAGGAAGGGGTGTGGGGAAAACCTGGGACATCAGCCCATGTACATATTCAAGTGGAATGGCCCTGATTTTAAATAAATACTATTTTTCTACAACAGTGTGGGAACTCTACCCAATCTCTGATTCTTAGACTCTGGACAATTTCTTTGACGTCACCACTTTGCAACCTTCCTCTCCATCTGTATCAGTTTGCTGGGTCTGCCATAAAAAGCACCACAGAGTGGGTGGCTTAATCAAGAGAAAGTCCTGTAGTTCTGCCTTCAGAATGTTTGAAGCTAGAGCTGAAGAGAACCTGACTAAAGCTGCAGACACAGGTCCCTACAGATTGGACTGAGGCAGACCCCTCATCCCACCAGAAGTCTGACAAGAGAGTGGGTGTGCCCTTTCCTGGGGATAAATGTACTCTACTTCTGTTTTGAGTGTCCTTTCCACAAAATGGCTGGTATACAATAAAAACGAAATTATGAGACATGCAAAGAGGAAAGAAAATGTGACCCATGGACAAGAGAAGAATTGTCCATAGAAGAAGACCCACAGATGGTGCAAATGTTGGAAACAGAAGATAAGAACTTTAAAATAACTTTGAAAAATATGTTAGCCTGGCTGGTGTTGCTCAGTGGTTGAGCATCGACCCAGGAACCAACAGGTCATAGCTCGATTCCTGGTCAGGGCACATGCCTGGGTTTCAGGATCGATCCCTGGTGAGATGTGTGCAGGAGGCAGCCAATTGATAATGCTTCTCTCTCATCAATGTTTCTATCTCTCTATCCCTCTCCCTTCCTCTCTCTCTAAAAAAAAAAAAAATCAATAAAAACACATTAAAAAGAAGAAAAATATGTTAAAGGCTGTAGTGGAAAAGGTGGACAACATGTGTGATGGCAAATTTTAGTATAGAAATGAAATCTGTGGGAATGTATCACAAGGGGGTTGTTGAAATGAAAAATGTAATATCAGATGTGAAAAGTTTATTTGAAGGGCTTAACAGAAAACTGGACAGAACACAGAAAATGAAACAGCAAAACTGGTAAAGGGAAAAGGAGTGTGGGGAAAATCTGAATGAAAACAGGTACAAACTTCCAAGAGACCTCTCCGAGTGGAGTCACAGAGGGAACAGTTATTCCAGCAACAAATTGTGACAACAAGCTTGGAGTGTTATCTACCAGAGAACCTGACCTGAGCCGAGATGTCCAGGATTCTCACTGGAGGTCAGTCATACAGGCCCTCTGCCTAGCATGTACCGAAATTCCAGACTCCCCAAAGACAGCTGGTGTCCATCATAAACCACGATATTTGTATAAATTGGTTATGTTCAGTGAGTCACTCTTATCAGTTACAAAATGGTGGAAACCTTGACATCCAAGTTCCCAGATGCCACCAAGGCCAGCCTCACAAGCAGGCCTTTTCTGAGGATGGCAGTCGAAGACCTGCTATGTTAACTCTTTTCTGCACCTTCCCATATTGCAAATTAAGTACATTGAAATAACCATGATCAAAGAAAAATCACAAGGGAATAAAATGTTTTTCATTGGCACAGTGGAAAAGACTATTACTGGTAATAGAGTTCTCTGCTTCCTCTTTTTGAAAAATCTCAAGCTGACAAATTATAATTGGATCTGAAGTGCATTCACAGAGCATCGGTGCAGTTTCTTTCACGGTAGTGAGGTAGAAGCTTGGAGATCAGCCAGCCACCTGAAATGCTCTTGGATCAGGTCAAAACGTGCATGATGGGTGACCCCATGCTGAAGCTAGGTGGACAGAGGGTCAGGTGAAACGAAGCTGTCTGCCGCTGACCTGGTTCAGGTGCCAGTGTGCACAGGTGAATGACGGGCTAGGTGTAAGAGAGGGATGGTGGGGCTGATTTGCCACATGCCAAGGCAGACAACACTCTTGGCGTCTTCCATGGACTGCCTCACCTGTGCAGCACTGTGCGTGGTGTTCGGCAGGGAGAGAGGAGAGCAGACAGGAGTCACACCTGGTTTCTGCCATCTGAGCAGTTCACAGTCCCATGGGAGGGACTTCTAACGCACAGAGAAAACTCTTCTTTTCTAGGCTTTCCTGCTAGAACCCTGACTGTGGTAGAGGGGGCAGTGGTGTGAGGGAGGGGAGGAGAGCCACAGCAGTAGTTTCAAGGCCATTTGTCACTGACTGAGTGCCTGCTGTGGGGCAGGCCCTATACGNGTAGTTTCAAGGCCATTTGTCACTGACTGAGTGCCTGCTATGGGGCAGGCCCTATACGAGCGCTTTCTGCCCATCACCACCTTTATCGTTTCCCTGGGTTAGGTGTTGTTATTGCCATTTGATGGAGGAATAAAAGGGATGTCACATTAAGTAACTTTCCTAAATGTATAAACAGATCCACCTAACTGAGTTCATGTGGGAGAATCTGGGGCTCTCCCCAAGCCCCAGAATGATTGTGTCTGCCCACCACTGCGGGAGTGGGTCTTAGACTAGTTAGATGTGCACCCATGATGGGGTAGTGTGACTGCCGAGAATCACGTCTGGATCATGGAGAGCCCCAGCGTGTAAACAGTTCATAATGTACCTGTGCGTTTGACAAGCACGCCGACACTGGTATCAGTTTAGACTGCCTCCCAGCAAGCATTTTTTTTCCTTCGAAGCATCCCCAACTTTGCTTCATTCAATTAGGTTATCTCGCGGGGGGGGGGGCTCTTTCTTCCTTCCC